ACTAATTAGGTTATAAAGATAGAACAACATTTATCAATTACATCCGAACAAGAAAAATTGGGTATTCTTGATCAGGTAGCTTAAACTTTTCATTCCTAATGTAATGGTCCTTAATAAGCATGCTGAATGTTGTGACAATTAAAGCTAGATCAATTTAAAAGCAAACCAAGACATTGTCACTTTGATTTTTCACATTTTACAAATAATCAAAATGTTTCATTTCCACTTCAAAGAGTATTTCATGCAAGCTATCAAGCCAGAAATCCAAAGACTACCGTAAGTAAATCGATTAGTGTAGATTGCCGCATTATTAGTTATGTTCATTCAGCCTCACTTATACGTTAACATAATCTGATACGTGAATTCATGTTCGCATTGGTGAAACCGTCTATAACCTGGTGCGGATACTGCAGCCTGGAGAATGTGAGTTTTGCATGGTCTGGCTGACAGTACGTGATTGCAGAGACAACCTAACCCATCTGAAAGTGTGCATTAGGGTTAAAATAAAAAGTAGGCTTCTGCAATATCTAGCATGATTTGCTTTTGAGGACTGTGGTTAATATGTCGGCAACCATTTCAATCGCATCAAGATTCGGGCTACCTGGTGATATCTGCGGTGACGGGACTCCAGTCGTCCGCAGTGTGGAGGTCTTGTAAGCAAAGAGCACAACTGTTTACTGCTAACACATTTTGATTTACGAATTGGTTTGTTTTAGGTTTGCATTGGCGAAACCATCTATAACTTGGTGCGGGTACTGTAGCCTATAGAAAATGGGTTTTGCTGTCGAAGAAGTCAAATATTATGATACTCAAGGCACATTATATTCGTTTTACATGTACAGCGCAACCGGTCATTAGCAGGCTTACTTAGTAGAGTTTTGCAAAAGAATATACACCTTGGGCATCGTGATTTTAAGACTTTATCCTATTTATAGTCGAAAATGTTACCATTTAATTAGTGATGCTAGCTTTGTATGTGGCTGCTAAGTGGGTTGAATTGACAAAAATGGAATGCTCGATGAAAATGATTGACTCCCTTTTTTCATAAACGAGATACTCCACTAATGATGTTTATTTTAAAGGCCTAAAGCCTGGTTATACTGATGTATTCTCTATCTGGGAATTTATGCATAAGTATGTTTGTATAAATTAGACCATCAGGAAGTTTTATGTTCTTACACTCTTTGATCTATCACCAAGTACCAGTGCAAGGATTCTCAATGCAATGTGAATGCTCTCCCACAGGATTGCGTAAGTCAAGATACAGCAGTAAATCGGCTATCGCATCTAGTGTGAATATTGCGTTCGACCTAACTGTCTGCTATCCTATTGTCCTGCATTTATGCAAATGCATAGAGTCAACCAAATCATTAGATAATCTTATGCAAAAAAATACATGAGCTCAGTTTGAATTCACTGGTAGTGACAGTGTATTTTGGTCCTGATTTGCTTTTCGGTATTCAGGAATAACACCATCACGCTCTTGTATGCTGAGTTTTCTTCCCTACTACGATGACATCGCGAATAAATGAGCACGTGGATCTTCAATGAATGCTCAGCTAAAACTCCACCAGTCCTTGGTGCTCAAAAATGCTAATTTAGTATACAACTAACCGATTTCAAATATGTAAAATAAGTAAATTCCTAAACATAAGTTGGCATTTGCTTAGAGTCGTAAATATCAGCATGGGAAATTTATTTGAAGGCAGTAAACCTATAGCTGAAGTAAGCTAAAAGAGCTCCACTTTAATTTTAATCGTCCGTGGTTGATGAATTAACCACTACTAAGATTGAATGCTGTTCTGTTACCCAAAACAATGGTGGTAAGTGGTGCAGCTTACGGCGTGACCACGCGAATTGGCGACAGCACCAATGGTTGGAAGAGGTAGTTTAATATGCTGGTCCAGCCATAGTGGCGCGTAATATTTTGTGGCCCTATTTACTTCTCCTTTCGGGTACAAAGGCATCATCATGGCGGCCTCCACGTTTGAACTGCTTACTAGTGTATTACACACGACCCTAAGAGTAAAGAAGACTAGTACAACAGCCAAAGCTTAAATGACCAATCACAAACTGCAACCTTATGTCAGGCGCCGAATATCCGAGTCCATTACGCTGGCTACTCCGCTCTTTATATGCCGCTTCTCAAACGTGTCTGTCTCTGGTTGTGGTTGGCTGCATATCGTCCTCGCATTCCACTTGAACACAAAGACACAGAAATTTGATCTGCGTCCGTATACGTTGTTACACTGCCTCCAACTCAGAAGGAGAGCTGTCCTCAGCTTCTGGTTTGGTTCCTCGCAGTGTTCATGATTAATGAAATTTCCATTTCGACACTCCCCGATACCCTGTATCTGGTAGGGCAGTGGCCCAAATGAATCATGGACGAGGGATATTGCTCTTGTAGACTTGCAGGAAGGCCGCTTTAACCACCGTAGTTTCCTTCTCCACTTGCAGTCCAAATAGCTTCTACCCTTCTTGTCGTCATCGCTGGGTTGCCAGTTCCTCTTCAGATGCAGTAATCCCAACGTCGAGAAATGTCTGCAGATTCAATTTATGGGACATCGGATGACCGCCATGACAACTTCAGCTAGTATTTAACGGTCTTGGCCTCGGTTCACCATATTAGGAAAAGGCCTGGGGTTCGATTCGCGTTATTCAATCCCATCCGCTTTCACCAATGTGCACAACACAACAAGCTGTATTGACAAATCACAAGCCAAAACCACACGTCAGGCGCCGTCCATTAGAATCCGCCACGCCGCTCATTATATACTGCACCTCAGTCGTGTCATTCTCTGGTTGGCTGCTTATCTTCCTCGCACGCCATTGGAACGCAGAGAGACACAGGATTGGCTGCGGCCAGGTGGTCCAACATGTCTGCGCCCTAATCCGACGCCACACTGCCTCCCCTCAGCAGTGAAGCTGTCCTCAGCTTCTGACTTGGTTCACCGCACTGTTGTTGATATTCAGTGTTGGTAAAATATCCAGTTCGACACTCCCCGT